TTTTGTTGTGCTTGTGCAGCCCTTATGAGCAGTCTGACTTCCTACTGGAATTATTCTTGCTTCCTATCATTCTCAGGATCCAGTTTCAAGTCAGCCATATTGACGCAGCTGCAGTGATTTCTTCCCATAACAGAGATTCTGTTTAGAACAAAGATTCTCAAACTTTCATTTCTTAAATCCCACCTATCGTTTTAATAAAGGAGTTTGGGCTGATTATGTTATAATAAACAAACCATTTAACCCAGTGGTTCTCAACCTGTGGGTCGGGACCCCATTTGAGGTCGAAACAACCATTTCATGGGGCTCGCCAAACAACGCAGTCCGCCATTTTTTCTCCCTTTTCCTTAGCTGTGCTACTCCCTTTTATTCTATTGGCTTTTGAAAGCCAATAGAATAGACTCTCTTGAATAGAGTCTAATTCTATTGGCTTTCAAAAGCCAATAGGAATTGTCCAGGCTGTCTCTACCCTGCTGAGCCCGCCAAAAGTCCCATTCTGCAAACGGTGCTGCACCAGTTGAGTAATCCTCGACTTACGACCGGTTGGGGGTTGCGGCATTAAAAAGGTTGAGAACCACTGATTTAACCCAATAAAAAGTTATAGGCCAATCTACACACGGAATCCTAGTACATATAAGAAACAATCTGCATGTCTCTTGTTCCTCCACCTGTCCAATAGAAGAATACAATACACAAGCATCCTACCTTGTGCTATCAGCAGGCATATGCAACAACAATGTAAAATATTAAGGTTTTGTTGTTGCTTTTAAAAGCAATATTTCCTCTACTTTTTTCTCTAATTGCATTTTACACCTTTCACAGCTATCTCTGGTAGCTTGCAAAAGAATCTGAGAGGAGAAGCTGAGCACAGAAATGTAGATTAATTTTTCTTTTAACGGTAAACTAATGCAGTGGAATCCCTTAAAAACCTCAACAGTCTGCATGCCAGTAATCCACTGCTGCATTAAAAAAAATTATACAACTTATGGAAATGGCATAATGGCAGGCCAGTAGCTATAACCATACTAGAAGGTAGCATTGCAGTGGGATTTAGAAGGAGACTAGGTGGGACAGGGGCTTAGTCACTTGCTCACCCACAAATGAGACATATAACAAAATGCTTATAAACATATATATAAGCTTTTATTGGGTTGAGTGGTTGGTTTGTTCTAACATGATCAGCCCAAGCTTCTTTTAATAAAATGATAGATGGGATTTAAGAAATGAAAAGTTGAGAATCTCTGTTCTAAACAATATAGTATGAATAGGAAATCTCTAGAATCTCTGTTATGGGAAGAAATTGCTGCATCTGTGGGATTATGTTTGACTTCAAACTGGGTCCTGAGAGATGGAACGATAGGAAGCAAGAACAATTCTGCTAGCAAAGGGGAGAAATCTGCAAATAGCAAAGGCAATTGTACCTAGGTTTCAAACTGTTTTGTTGGAAATAGAGAAGTGAAAACAATGGTTTGGTGGAAATAAAACTATTATTTATTTATCACGCTGTTATTATTATTTACTTTCATTCGGGCAAATGACAGCTCTCTTGTTTGGAAGCCTGTGGATTTCTGCTGTCTCATCAATCTCAGCTTTAGAATGTAAGTATAGCAGTTGTCACGGAAATGACATAATCATCATAATTACTTACAGGCCTTATTCAAGCCACACAATTTATCTTATAAAGCTCTACGGTTTCTGGACTGTCCCTCCTTCCCAAACTCAACTCATGACACAAATTTCACCTCAAGGAGAGATGCTGAGGTTTAGGAGACCATATCTTCTTCACCTGTTGTAAGACTGTACAAAATATGCAGCGATTGGCCTTATTGTTTTGATCAACTGGGTTATGATTTTTGTGATGTGCTGTTATTGGTTCTATTGTTGTATTGTGAATCCCCTTAGTCTTTCACAGCAGGGTGGGTATAAACATTTAGAAGCAATTCATAAGTTCCCAGTGCTATATAGATTCAAAGCTACCACAATACTACTGACTGGAGAGCAGGCTTACATTTGCTTTGCTTACTGACCATTACATTAACTGACACCTTTATCCCCGGTGTAATAGCACTTTCTAGTAGTGTACATCACCATAGAAAGGACAAAATATTTCTTTCTGTGTCCCCTGGCATTAGTCTTCTGGGGAGGTGGGGTAGTTGGCAACGAACACGGGCCCGTAGGTCACCCGAGGAAAAAGGAGGTGAGAAACATTTAATGCTTTTGGCAGTAAAACCCAGAGGCCCGTTCTCCACCTTGGGTGGAGTCGTTTTTGCCCTCCTAAGCAGCAACACCCACAACAAACCTCACCCCCTTCCTTCCCCCTCCCACCCCACTTGGGGCGAGGCTAAGCCAGTGTTTAAAGCCTGCCAATGGGCAATCACTCTTAATACCTTCCCCGTTCGGGGAATGTCAATAGTGCTTTCCTGGACTCCGCCTGTTGTATCTAGAGGAAGGCGTGTTCGCATTGTCTTCCCCGCTTGCCCCAGGAAACATGATATCACACTTGAACAAAAGCGGGAAAGCTGTCAGATCTATTGAGATGGGTGTGACCTCCCTACACACCTAAAGCAGGCAAGGCCAGCGGGTCAGCAGCTCTTTAGTGTGCGAGAATAAATATGCGTCTCCTGACTTGCCAAGAGGATTTTAGTCCTGCAGAATTAGAATCCAGGACAGGGGTTACCGTAAGAAAGACAGGTAGTCCTCAGTTTACAATATTTCCTTTAGTGATTGTTCAAAAGCACTGAAAAAAGCAACTTCTGACCATTTTTCACACATAAGACCATCGCAGCATCTCCACAGTCATGTGTTCAAAATTCAAATGTTTAGCAACTGGTTCATATTTATGATGGTTGCAGTGTTCCTTGGGTCATGAGATCACTTTTTGTGACCTTCTGACAAGCAAAGCCAATGGGGAAGCCAGTTTCACTTCACAGCTGTGTTACAAACTTAATAACTGCAGTGATTCACTTAACAACTGCGGTAAGAAAGGTAGTAAAATGGGGCTGAACTCACTTAACAAATGTCTCATTTAGCAACATAAATTTTGGGCTCAATTGTGGTTGTAAATCCACAATATCTACCTGTAAGACAAGTGGATAATGGACTAGCAAAGACAGGATTTCTTTTTTCATTTAATAACATAGTACAAGATGAATGTTCAATGTAGAAAAATAATTTTACATGTCTTCATCCTTCTTTTAAAGAAATCAGAATGGCATGATATTTTACATCCTTCCCCCTTCCTCCCCTTCTCCCTAATTTTGGAAAATAAAGAAAGTTGAGGATAAACAGTAATTTGTTCAAAGTCATAGATTTTTCACAGGACTTACATCTCTCTCTCCCTAAATTCCAGCACTTTGTGTTCTATATACAAATTCTCAAAACTGTATTCCCTTTCTTTTGTACTTGTCTCTATTTATAAATATAATGGAATATACAGTAAAGATTGAATGCTATTTTCTGCTGATTGATGGCAAGCCCTCCTTAAAAATATTCAGTTATGTTTTTATAATTAAAACTAACAAAGTAATCTATGGTCTCTATTTCTTTTTCTCAGTGTAGATTAACAACTAACCAGGAATTGTTTTAGCTTATAGAAAGGACAGAGCTCTTTAGATACTACTAGCTTTCCCTTCCCCTCTGCTAAACCATCTGCTACAATTTAAAGATGGTCAAGAAAATGCGGCATGCTTAAGCCTACAGGTATTCATGGAATTAAAGTAATTAATTTTGTCTTGTGCAGAGAATGGCACACACAGTAAAAAAAAAAAGAACCATAATATTGGAATATAACATAAAGGTAATCAATATTTGCTGTCTGAACGACTGAATCATGTTTTAATTTCCCCAGATATAGACTGTTTAGTACTTTATTTATTTAATTTATACTCCACTTTTTTTCAAGGGCTCCTAAGGGTTAAAATATTTCCAGAACAAATCCTAGAGTGAACTTAATTATAGACCCCAACAACTTGTAACAGTTTTTGCACTTCCTTTCTAAGAATTTTTGAACCAAAACATTAAAAAAATATAGGTGCTTTTTAAAAAACAAACTAACCAGTGTGTAAATAGTACCGAAATGTTATACCTAAGATTTTGTGATACTTTGGACAAAGTGCTTTCTACTTTTTTTTTCATTTCATCTTTACAAACACCTTGAAAAATAGGTCCTTATTATTCTAATAGTATAAATGGAGGTGTAATGAAGAAACTGTCCAAAGACCTGAAGAATTTGAATCCATTGTCACCAGCATAGTAGATGTTTGTATTTATTTGTTTAACTATGTTCTTTTTTCCCCTTCAATTTCTACCTTTTTTTGTTGCAACATTACTTTTTTTTTAAAGGAAAATAAAAGCAGGTTGGCCAGAGATAAGCTATTGAATGAACAATACTTGGGATATAGCCATTAATTAAAGGCGGGAGAAGAAGAAAAATAAAACTTTTTCAAAACATGTGAATTTCACAATTAAAATGGGAAATGACTCTAATTTGAGTTTAGTATGTTAGCATTAATTCTAATTCTAAGGAATGTTATATAGCTGCTGGCCAACATGTAAACAAAGGAAACTAAGGTTGTCATTAAGCATTACTATGGAAGCATTCCCAGTAATGCATACTTGTGCAAGACTTGGTTTCCACAAAACTAAAGTACTGATGTGGTAATCAAAAGAGAGACAGCATCAAACCACTAATAGCACAACTGTTTAAATTGTGCCCAGAAACAAGTGCAAACATTCCACATATTTGTCAGACAATTATTTGGTACAACGAATCTTACTAAAAGTAAATCTAAGCATCCGACTTGTACATTTATCTGCAACGATCTCCTTTTAAATTGCTTACGATGTGCCAATTATCAAAGAACAGCACGGCTAGCGAGGAATATGCTTTATCGTAACATATCAAGCTAAGGAAATAGAGAATTAGAGAACAGCAGTTATGCAAGGATTTTGAGATCTTCACTACGAAGTTACAAAGAACTAAAAAAACCCAAAACCACTCTTACCTGAAAGCATAAAGCTGAATTCACAGAAAAGAAGAAATGCTAAAAATGTCCACGCTTTTCCAAGTATATCCATCCAGTTTATACTTTAGTTCATGAAATACCAGAGGTCCTTTCAGTGGGACAAGCCTCAGTCTTTGCCCTTTCTTTGCATCGCACGGCAAACTAGCCTTCCAGGGAGCAACAGATTCACTGAAATACTGGGGTGGACTAGAGCAAGCGCTTAGCTGTCTCAGCAATGGGAGTTTTAAGTTCCTTTTTCCTGTTTCCTCTTGTAGATTAGGATGGGAAAAGCAGGATCTTAAAGTCATTCTTCATCAGCAGGATTTGTGAGATTGTCTGAGCCCCGTCTACTACATCTAAAAAACTTTGCTGTTCCTATAGGGGGGAGGGAGGGGGGAGGGAATGGGCCATAAGCTCTCCCTCCCCAGGTCATGGCCAGTGCTGTCAGAAACAATAGAACATCCTCCAGGAGGGAGAATTATGAAAATAACAAACCCCCTCCACCTAGACATGGTATGTGAAAATGTGCTACTCCACCTCCTCTTCCATCTCACCATCTGCTAATTACTGCCAGAGTTCCTGTTTAGAATACAAGTTTTTGAATTCTTGATTTACCTGTAAGTACATAGCTAATCCTTGAACTTTCAGGAACACCCCCTCCCCTCCCCCCCATTCTACATCATCCTTCTTCAGGGGATGGAATCACCCTGGCCAAATTCTGTAGAGAGTGAGAATCTACATTTCTCAACAGCTCCATCCGTCTCCTTGGATTAGGGATGCAAGGAGTTTAGAAACACTTAGGAGCCAGTGGTTTTCCACCAAACCGAAAGAAGAGATTCACATAACTTGCTAAGCCTTGTTTTTTTAAACAAAAAAATACAACACAACTGTTGGGTTCACAACATTGACACCAAACACTTTGCATTGTGCCATAGTACAGGGTGAGAGCCCAGTCCAGGGTTGATATAATGCACTAAACTATATTTGGACTATAGTTTATTGAACAAACTGTTGTGGTTCCATTCATCTGTAATACTAAGTTACAAATCACCATGCACCATGCTGAGCCCAAACCCAAATGCAGATAGTCCTTGCCTTAAGGACCACAACTGAGCCCAAAATTTCTGTTGCTAAGTGAGACAGTTGCTAAGTGAGTTTTGCCCCATTGGTAAGTTGTTAAGTGAATCACTGCAGTTGTTAAGTGAAGTGAATCTGGCTTCCCCATTGACTTTGCATGTCAGAAGGTTGCAAAAGGGGATCACATGACCCTCCCCGGGGACACAACAACGGTCATAAGTATGAACCAGTTGGCAAGCATCTGAATTTTGATCCTGTGACCATGGGGATGCTGCAAAAGTTGTAAGTGTAAAACAGTCATAAATCACATGCCTTTGTAATTCTAAAAGATCACTAAATGAGCTGTTGTAAGTCCAGGACTACTTGTAAAACATTATATAGAAGAGAATATACATAGCCCGGGATTGAACTTTGGAGTCCTTGGTTCTCTCTGACCTTGGTTGTTTGCTTGCAGATATTTCATAAACCAACTAGGTAACATCATCAGTGCTGATAATGTTACCTAGTTGATTAATGAGCTGATGATATTACCTAGTTGGGTAACAAAATGTCTGCGAGCAAACAAACACACTCAGAGAGCACAAAGGACTCCACAAAACACATCATACCTAAGTTAGCAGGCATGTATAGTTCTTTGGATGATAGGAGCTTATTACTTTTTTCAAGAATGAGAGGAACAAAGAAACGAAACAGCAATCTTCTGCCTAATTGACCTGCACGTACATTTCAAGGAATCCAACGGGACTCGGGTAGATGTGCATATAATTTTGGTCTGATTGTGCTTCTCAAAGGTTGCAGTTGCAAAGCAAATCATATGAGAAAGCTTGTAGCAAAACATATATGAAAAATACATGGAAGTTGGTTTACTCCTTGTGGAATGTATTGCACTCTTTGGCTTGTTTGTTCGTGCCAAAATAAATATCCTGACTTTCTAAGTAAAGGCCATCTTGAAGAAACATACAACACATTAAAATAAAATGAACATACAAAGCAAATGAAAATATTACCAAACTGACAAAGTTATAATTAATTAGGAAGTGTAGTTACTATAGAAGATCAATCAGTCTGTAAACAAACAAGCAAACAAAATCTTGTTGATGTGATTTGGTTTTTAAAAAGATGTTTAAAACAAAGCTGGATTCCATGGCTGATGCTCTTTGAAATTTAAAACCCCTCCAAATTTTGCCCTAATCGTGGCTCCAACTAATCATACTTGATGATGCAGCCTTTCTTCTATTCTCCTGAGAGGAGTATAGAGGTGATCTTGAAGAAAGAATGCAAGAGTGGTTACACAAGCATTCAGGCTAGTCTTGAAGTAGAGAAGGTGATCAGAAAGAAACTCAAGGTTGACCTGCCTTGATTCTCTTATCACAATCAAGGCAGGTCAATCTTGACTTTCTTTCTGATCTCCTCTTCTCTTTCAGAGGAGAAGTTAGGCTCTCAAGATTTGTTATTGCACCTTGCAACAATAAACATGAGCTCCAGAAGTCCTTCTGGAGTCTGTTTCCTGAGCTGGCTTACCTTGAAGAGATGACATTTCCATTCTATTGCTGAGGCTGCCTAAACCAGCTTTTGCCTTTAATTAAACTGTCTCACACGGATAGGAGGACCCCACTTGGTGGCCTTGTTACTGAACTAGATAAGAACTCAGCTGTTGGGACAGAACCAATGATGTTGGTACTTTTGTGTTGATTCCTGAACCAGGGGAAAGCAAATTTGAATGGCTGTTCGGGTGAGTCTTCTGATGGAAATGGGTCACAGAACAAAAGAAGTTGGGCTCAGAAACAACGTTGTTAAGAAGCTAAAAAGAAGAGGCTGATTTCTCAAATGATCTGGCCTTGTTATTGAAGTACAATACCTCATTATTGCTCAACATGATTATCAATTCAATGAGAACAGAGCTGGAAGGGACCTTGGAGGTCTTCTAGTCCAACCCCCTGCTCAAGCAGGAGACCCTATACCAGGAGTAGGCAACCTTGGCTCTTTTATGACTCATGGACCTCAACTCCCAGAATTCCAGAGTCAGCATAGCTGACTCGGGAATTCTGGGAGTTGAAGTCCATGAGTCATAAAAGAGCCGAGGTTGCCGACCCCTGCCCTATACCATTTCAGACAAGTGACTGTCCAGTCTCTTCTTAAAAACCTTCATTGATGAAGCATACACAACTTCTGAAGGCAAGTTTTCCACTGGTTAATTGTCCTCACTGTTAGGAAGTTTCTCCTTAATTCCAGGTTGCTTCTCTTCTTGATTAGTTTCCATCCATTGTTTTTTGTCCTGCCCCCTGGTGCTTTGGAAAATAAGCTGACACCCTCCTCTTTGTGGCAACCTCTCAGATACTGAAATACTGCTATCATGTCCCCACTAATCCTTCTTTTCTCTAGACTAGCCAAACCCAAATCCTGCAACTGTTCTTCATATCTTTTTATCTCCAGGCCTTTAACGATCTCAGTTGCTCTTCTTTACACTTTTTTCCAAAGTCTCAATATCTTTTTCGTAATGTGGTGACCCAAACTGGATGCAGTATTCCAGGTGTGACCTTACTAAGGCTTTATATAGCGGTACTAATACTTCATGTGATTTTTTTTTCTATGCCTCTGTTTATGGAACCGAGGAGTGTACTAGCTTTTTTGGCAGCTGCCGCACCCTGCTGGCTCATATTTAAGTGATTGTCCACTAGGACTCCAAGGTCCCTCTCACAATTACATAGTAAAACGTATTCATTCACTTACTTTATTTCTATAATGAGAATTCATGAGCACTGAGTTGCTAACAGTCCTAAACATCACACAATAAAATTCCAAAAAAACCCACTCAAAACAATAAATCCACCCATAAAATAAACAGAATAATCAGCAGTATCAAAATTATACCCAAAAATACAAAATGCAAAACCATGAGTCCATTAGATCCAACTCTTCTATCACCCTTATGCCATTTACTTGCAGGTCATAACTGCTCCACTGAGCCCAAGAAGAAAAGAACGAACTGGATCTCTTACAGAGGGAATTCTGGAGCTATGGTGGTGAGGATTGAAAATGGCTACTTCCAAGGTCCCATCAAATGCCATTTTCATATGGATGGGACCTGGAGCGCATTCATTCATTCATTCATTCATTCATAAAATATTCAACTCAATCTGATCAGACAGACAGATGAATGTAACAGATGGTAGTTCTCTACATGATTTGATCCAGAGCCGTAAAAGTATAACCAGTACTTTAAATCGCACCTAGAAGCCCATTGGCAACTAATGTTGTTCCTGAAGCATCAGAATAAACTTACTGCTGCCTGGACTGCCATATTTTGTACCAGAATAGAATAGAATAGAGCTGGGAGGGACCTTGGAGGTCTTCTAGTCCAGCCCCCTGCTCAAGCAGGAGAACCTATACCATCTCAGATAAGTGACTGTCTAGCCTCTTCTTAAAAATCTCCAGTGACGGAGTGCCCACAATTTCTGGAGGCAAGCTGTTCCACTGGTTAATTGTCCTCAATGTCAGGAAGTTTCTCCTTAATTCCAGATTGCTTCTCTCTTTGATCAGTTTCCAACCATTGTTTCTTGTCCTGCCCTCTGGTGTTTTGGAGAATAACATGACCCCCTCTTCTTGGTGGTAGCCCTTCAAATACTGGAACACTGCTATCATGTCTCCCCTATTATCTTCTTCTTCTTCTTCTTCTTCTTCTTCTTCTTCTTCTTCTTCTTCTTCTTCTTCTTCTTCTTCTTCTTCTTCTTCTTCTTCTTCTTCTTTCTTCTTCTTCTTCTCTTCTTCTTCTTCTTCTCTTCTTCTCTTTCCTTCTCCTTCTCCTTCTCCTTCTCCTTCTCCTTCTCTTCTTCTCCTTCTCCTTCTCCTTCTCCTTCCTTCTCCTTCTTCTTCTTCTTCTATTCTTCTTCTTCTTCCTTACATGCTTTCAAGAGCAGTTCTTTGCAGAGCATATTTCATGCCTGTGAACAGGAGCACCTAACCTGGGAACAGCAAAACCCTAGTGCACCGGAGGTGCCTGGGCATAAACCTTCTTGGACACAGCTGCCACTTTCTCATTTAAACAGAAGCTGCATGCCCACAAAGAACCTCACATTACACGCCATCTCTGAGTGCAATCCTGTTCAGAGTCAATGGTGGCCCTTCCCTGGAATTGTTTGGTCCACCAACCCAAATTCTGCCATTTAGAAGGATTCATATTGAATCTGTTCTTCTTCCCCGTCTAGACCCTGACAATTTCCAGGCCCTGGGTCAGTGGTTCTGCTGCAGTGCTTGTTTGGCCTGGGGCTGAGGTTGATAAGGTTTCTCAATATGACTCTATGCCACTGGATGGGTTGCTAGCAGTTTCTTGTAAATGTTTAAGAGAAATGGAGAGAATTGAAAGCCTTGACCTACCTGTACATCAAAGAACAGAAGTCACTTCCC